AATTTACACGAGCTAAAAAAACAGTTGTCATTATTGAGATACAGTATTCATCATTGTTTCGTGTTTTTTCCGTTGTATCCGTGATAAATTTATGTATAAACCCATTGTTATATATTGTTACTGTCAGTAGATAATACAAAACTTAGAACCCTGTAAGAGAATTTCATGAGGTTGTTATTGTAGAGACGGGAGGCGGCGCAGCGAGGACGGAACTCGGGGTCCTCGCGGCTCGTAGGCGAAAAATGCAAATCCTAGCCGTTTCACTTTAGGACAATGCGTTTGGAGTGTTGCACGTCTTGTAAACAGCTTGGACATGGTTCGTTGTACTGCTTTTTTGGGTAAACGGTTGCCGTAAACGGCGCTGCATAGGCCGCCGCAGAAATACCTCCCGGCGGCACGATGCGGCGCCCGCGCCGGCCGTCGCCGTACATGGCTCGCGCCCGCGTGAACGCGACACAGCGTTGTAAGTTATTTCCAAATCACGTAACTATACCATTTTAGTTTACAGTGAAATTTGCGCAGTTCTGTTCGGCACAAACATGGCCGGAGCGTAAGTAATGGTGCCGATAGTACGATTTTTTGTTTTACCTTCGAACAAGATACACTTTTCATTTTATAACTTCAATTCGAGCGCGCGATGTTGTGCGTTAAGATTATGCTCTAACATTAACATAGAGAGCGCTGCGAGTGTTGAGATGAAATTATATTTTATGGAAATGAACATTGAATCGGAGCCAAGGCGGGTTGCATTTTCATACCACGACAGTTATGCGAGCGAGCGCCGCGAGTGCCCATCGATAACAATGATACTGCGCCCTCTCGCTCCTCGTTCCCCTCATCTCCTTGCGCCATAAACAATCATCGACACGATCATTACAAATATAAGCTATAAATTAGTGCAACGCCGGCAGGGAGCTTGCTGCTCGGTGCCTCATGCATTTGTAATAAGGACAGTGTCCTGTTCCTGCGTTGCCGTACTCAATGAAATGACTGCAAGTCGCCGTCATGTCGGGCCGCAGTCGTAGCTAATTTCAACTGTTGCCAATTAGACTTTGCATTTAACATGGCCAGTAAGTAGCAACCGCTTTACATTTCATTAACTTCATGGTTGAAAGCAGACAACGTTTCTTAGAAAATGTAGTTTTCGACATATTTTCACTCTCTGCCATTGATGATGTACGCAACTCATCTTACTAATTCTACCTATATTACTGTCAAGTCTTCGTATTTCTAATATTATTATTCTAACGTATTTTATCATATCAATCAATGTTTATATAATTTGATAATAATTCATTGATTGTAAATATTATTAGGTCATGAAATATTAATAGAATCCGTTCGGTTTTTGATCCAGATAACGGAATCGCAAACAAAATAAAACAATGGTATCGATGTTATCTCGAGTTTGTTTGAACCGCAAGTGGGTTAACCGTTAATTAGGTCGAGTATTTTATTAGCGACCGAGCTGCTTTATTGATTGCCAGCTCTACTGAACAATTTAAAAATATCTTTAACAAAAAAAAAAACCTTTGATGCTTATAACCAGACGCGTCTAATTTGGACGCCGACGTTTAAAAAGAAATTATTTTTATATGATAAAAGTTTGAACTTGCTGGCATACTTACAACTCTTGACGCACCGTCAGATCTCGAGGTGACAGAAGTGACAGAAGTGACACAAGTGACAGGAATGACAGCGCGAGGTACTGTCGGCGCATCTTTTGTTACGTCACCCGTCGCGCGTCACTTTGAAATAGTTTCGGTAATTTTTACTTACTACACTTCGAGGTCAAGGTATTGGTGTTTATTATAATAGAATATTACGTATGCTACTTCTAGTGTATTTTTAAATGACATGTTTTAACGCTTTTTCTGATGTAATTTTGTAAATTTATATGGAAAAGCAATCGGTAGCAAAGAAATGCACCAAATATTAGGTATATATTTGTAAAATAAAAATAAAACTCTGTAGTTGTTTGGTTTTCAAAAGTTTATTTTCGGTTTTAAATACGATTACAGTGAGTAGAATGTTTAAAAGTGTCATTTCTGTCTACCCTCAGTTAGAAGAAAAGCGAGATTTTTTTTAATGTTATCATCTTTCATTCACAGAAACTATCTCTCGAACTTTTCTTCATCGAAATTCTTGAAAATTATTTTGAACGCGATTATTTATAAAAATCATGTAACACGATATTTATGACAGCTTAACGCTTATTTTTGCATTCATATGATTCGTGAGTCACGTAGAAATTTTAAGACATTACAGCGCTAAAGATTTATTAGTAGAGTCCCGTAAGAATTTTCTAAATCTCCACCACGATTAGTATTACTCACGATTTGCGAGTAAAAATAGGAGAAAGCCAACACAAACTGCCATTAGCAAATTAGTTAATTATCCAATCTTCCTTGTTCAGCTCATAAATAGGCAACAGCTGTGTTAACTGAAAACAACAATTTACTTTGTAAATGCAGCATTTATTTGCCTTACATCCTTAATTATAAAGATTCGTTTAGAAAAAAAAAAGGTATATTGAATAAAACATTCAGGTGAGTAATATTTGTTTATCTTTTTTCAGTGTCTTCAAAACAAATAATTAAAAGTTGTCAGTATTTAGAATATTCCAATAAAGTACAAGCTTTGCATCTTTTTATTCGTTTAGTTACAAGTTTAAATAGGAATTTTATCGCATTACTTATCTAAAAAGCTCGTGCAACATTTGCCTGATCAACATAATGCTCCCTTTAACAGTCATGAATATGTGGAACTCGATAAATATATGTAAAAACAGTATTGGAATCTGCTTCTAGCATTAAAATGCGTATTACACGATGTCTTCGTATCGCATAGCTGGTCGGGTACAACGATCTAGGTATATTACCGATAAAGTCGAGTAACTTAGTGGTCACATCAAAGCGAGCGAGCCACTTATCACGTGTGTTACTTTTGTTTTGGTATTGCGCTCCGGTTCCGCGATAGTTTACGTGCCGTCGACCGTTAACCGTCGCGACAATAAACTGGCTCCCGACTACTCACGCTAATCTAAGGGCAAATGGATTTCCACTGCTCATGCTCACCCACACACGATGTTTCCCTAAGTATAGTTAACATCTATCCGAGCTTGTTGGAATTGAAACACAGTTCCTGGAAAACCTTACGTTGTTGTAGTAAAGTTTTTGTTATACTACATGAATTATTGATGGTCGTATACCGCGGCGTATTCACGGTATCAATCGGGCACGTAGTCGTCGCAGCGGCGCCCGGTTACATCATACGATTGGAAAACTCGCCGCGTTTGAGAGGCCTAAAGATTTTAGGTCGAGACTAGACTGCGAATGATGCCGGATTTAATCAGTCGCCTCACGTCCTCCGAACTAAACGACGCTTTCGAAAAATTTAAATTGATACAAAACGACATTAATGAGTCGATCACCGAGAAAAGCTTCGATTCCGTTGGCCTAGCGCTGGTCGTCGTGTGTGTGCGTGTGTACAGGGTGTACCTATACGTAGTGTGCGCGGGCGCCGAGCCCGGCCCGCCCGAGTCAAAGGTGCCCCGGCGCCGGCGCCGACGCAATGCGTCCTACTCGTCTTTTGCGACCGTATATAGGGAGAGCAGCATTTGAAATCTCTTAGACGTAATTAAAGTCAATATCAATGCGGACGTCGCCAAATTCATTAATGTTAATACATTAGCGACAAAACATTTTGATTTACGTTAGATATTAGATACGCGTCGGCCTTGAGTTTAATGTATCGCTTCAAAGGATTAAATGTTTCCGATCGTTTGGCATTTGCTCGATCGAAAAATGTTCGTAATGAAGCATATTTATTGGTACTTCGCTATACATATATTACATTTGCAAATACCCTAGGCCGCTTCGTCGCCACATTGGCGCCATTTGCCAATAAATTTAGGGCTGTCTCGGGCATTAAATGAATTCACAGATTGAATTATGAATGTCGGCGGAGCGGCGCGCGGCGTGCGGTGTGCGGCGTGCGGCGTGCGGCACTAGATCACGATCCTCTCAGTGTAAACAGGTCCGATCATCAAGCAGCCTCCCAGACGTCACGCTGTAGCCGCACCAGATAAGCTCATATAACCTCACGTTTTAGATATATGACTCGCGTCGCTGATCGTGACATGCTGTTTACGATACTAGTTTATGTTCCTTAGCGTCTGCGCTATTAAATCATTAGCGCTACTGAAGAAGTTGCGATATATAGAGGATGATGTGTTCATGTTAGTAAATCTTGTTCATAAAATTTATAAGAACACTATCGCTTAGTAGGTATCAGATACAAGTAATACACATTTATAATAAAATTATAAATTAAATTAAATATTAATTAAATTAAATATTTAATAACTGAATTTTGCATCGGAAATAGAAAAGGAGCAAAAGTAAACAATTAAATAGAAAATGCTATCAACGATCATAAAGCAATAAATTCAAATACAATTAATGTTGTAATAAGGCAAAGGGATAAGAGTCATCAGTAGCGATAAGGGGAATGTAAGCGCCGCGCAAAATGTTACTGATCCCGCTGTTCCTCTATTTTCGTCGAGAGTAAATCCAATAAGAAAGCTATGCAAAGAACAAATGCTGCGTCGTTGTCGCCGTCTAGACGTCGGTCCTGTTACGATGGAATAACACTGGAGCGAGGCGGCCGCGGTGGGTCGAGGTCCCCGGCCCGCCCCTCTCCTGCGTCATACCAGCAATTGATTTAGCGACATGTTTTTATAAGATACGAGATGGAGTCGGCCGCCGGGGAAAGTGTCGATATACCTATTTATGTATATGTGAAATTGCCTATGCCTTGTTCTATTTGTTAGCACCGCTTTAGATATTTGTGCTCGACTTCGTCGCACACAAGCGCGGCTTAATTTATTACCTTTGGTTCATTGCAGATAGGCACGCAGCGCTCGTACTTCTGATATAGACTATTATTACATTTCCTTGTATTAATAAAGTGTAAAAGATTTATTTGTATTGTTGCAGCGCCCGATATCGTGCAGGAGGACAGTCCGACCGTCGTCATCACCGGCGGCGAGGAGGAGGAGCTAAGCATGAAACGTAAGCGCTATTACTACATAAATAATTGCAATCGATAAGTTCAGCCTTACGTCATATTAGAACTCGAACTAAGTACTACAATTATGATGCTAGAGTACTTAATATAGCTGTATTGTGTTTGATTCTATCCACATAAAAATGAAATTTGGTAATTTTTGTCGAGATAGGTATCCGCGATACGAACGTACCTTATAAATAGCGGTCACTTAAAAGTGTGTATTTTTTTCATTATATGTAGGTACGTGTTGTATTATGTGTTACAGATTTTGGAGCTTTATTAACTGGACGATCCCCTCTTTGTATACGTCGTGATGATATGACGGGGGTGGCCGTCGCCCCCGGAGTGGCCACCGCTCGGTTTACTTTCCGACGTCGCCATCTATTCTGGTCTGTAATCCTGGGACCTTCAATCGTAACGCAACCACGCTCGTTAGCATTTCTAGACAGAGGAGGAAGAATGCTACTCGAACACCCATTGAAAAGATCACCCGGTATTCACGCGACTTACGAAGAAAAAACTGATAAGGTACGTTGAAATACCACTTTTATTTCAGAGTAGAGATGGTTTATTTTCATTTAATGTGAATCTGGCACATGAGTGGTTCTTGTGTATTATTCTGTATCTACCCCCCGTCTTTTGTTTGTAAGATATAGTTTGTGTAATTCAACATCACAATGTACGATACTTTTGCAACATGTTTGCCTTGTCATTCATCCTTTTATGGCGCCCTAATGTGGAGGACATTTAAAGAAACGTAATTAAAATGTCATTGAGCACAGTGGCGCCGGCGCCGGTGTAGTATTTCAATGTGTTTTTTTGTCTGTTTGCCTGTACATCGAGTGATTGTTTTTAGTTGTGCGGTGTATGGCGCCGAGTACCGCGGGAGTATAAGCGGTTGCTAAGAGATGGGTCTCTCTACGTGGCCTTGATCTGGGGCGACGAGCGGAATAACTCCATGGACAAGGCTTTAAGTGGACGAATTAATAGGTACGTCCACTGCCAACTGATAGATTAATTTGTTAAACGTATGTACTTTGATACTTTTATGTTATGATTGTTCCTTATTGAAGATTGTTTTACTCCCTAAGTGATTAATTAACAACTCAATTGGGTAATCGTGTAAAAATAATATTAAAAGTCAGATGTAATCACAAATTTTTAAACACAAACCTTGTTAAGAAACCAAAACTTACACCTCAATATCAATATTTTGTATCTAAATAATTCCGTAACACATACTATAATTTGCTAGGTATCCAGCACTATCTACGGAGATGTTCACAACGCTGTTAGAACCTGAACATCCACCGGCGTCCATCGGTAACGGCGCCTGTGACGACTACCGCACGCTGGGGCAGGAGGGCGGTTGGTGGGGCGGCACTGCAATCGTTACAGGGGCCGCCGGAGCAGCGCCCAGCTTGCATCTCGCCATCATCTACAATGGAATATTCACGCTCAGTGCCAGAGATCAATCTGTCAGAGTCTTGCTGACTTTACCTGAACGGAATCAGACTATTATTGACGAGGTGAGTACTAAATTTTAATGTTGTAATCTATAAGCGTGATGAATGGTAATTAAAAATGTGATAATCTCATAAGCTGTAGACCGTTTTTTGAATACTACAAATCTATCAACAGAACAAGCCTGATCACAACAAAGTGTAAGACACTTAACATAGTAACATTTTTTTTTCTATGATTTTATTAATCGACATTTTATATCTAACCTTCCAGATCCAGAGTGTTCCCAAGCCGGGTTACGAGATGAACGTACTAGAAGTATCAACGCCGGTATCGGCTGCGGAACTGAGATCGTTATCTCGCGGGAGACTTCTGCTGGCGGTTGAAGAGCTCGGAACGGTGGAGCGGCGCATCGTCGGCGCCGTGCGGCAGAAGGCGGCCTGCGAGGTGTACCACGCCTGTCTGGTCGCAGAGAGGGCACCAGCTTCACCCGCACCTGAGGGTCTTGCCTTGATATACATCGATAAAGAAGGCTCACTCGTATATGATATACAGGTAAGAAGTAAACTGATTTATGGGTGCAAAACCAAAAAGACGCCTTTAGTTACTTTTTCAAAAGGAAATTTTCTAAATATTCAGGAAATTAAGGTTGTTTTCTTTGTGGTTACAGGTTGACAATTTGGGGATATCAGACCCTAAAATAACTCTAGTGGAGGAGCAAGGCAAGCGGCATTCGCAGGTGGAGATCCTAGACACGCGCGTGGGCGTGCTGGCGCGGCCCAGTGCGCGGATCTTCCCGCCATTATACGAGGACCAGCTCGCCGTACACATCGGAGCTGATGCAGGTACAC